ATTGTTAGTATTTATTTGAAAAATGTGCATTTGGAAGTGAATTACCAATAATTCCTGATGTAATTCGAGAAGAACGTGTTAAAAAATTTGGTGGCATACCCTTGGCTGTAAAAATGTCAGGAGGAATGGTATAATTATGCAAGAATTACGAGGGTTGCTCTCTCTCCTATAAGAAAGAACTTATCTAGGCGTGGGTAGCATTGTAATGACCAAAATTTTCTATTTAATTTATATCATAAACCTTTAAAGGTGGAAATACTTCATTTAAACTTTCATAAAATATAATCATGGACTTAACCTGGTTTGAAAACACTTTTGAAAACGACATAAGAAAAGATTAAATAAAATAAACAAATGTTTAAATTAAAAACATCCTATTCTAGCCTAAGTCTAAGAAAATAATACAACTACTCTATGCATGTGTCATAGTCTCGAGTTGTGATACCGTCGTCAACCGTATAGGAATGTCTTGCCTTAACCTGAAATAGAGGTAGCGCATGGTTTAAGTATTTTAAGAACTACTCAGTGAGTGACCCACTATCGGGGGATAAATGCAAGAACATGCAAATGCAATGACGGAACCTATCCTATTAGTCTCTTTTCCTGCGGCACTATCCTAATGAGCAGCTTGGATGTGTACCATATACTCTACACACAGCCCATACGTGCGAGTATGGGCTTACCAAACAGTTCCCACACCGTTGGGCCCCTTTTCTTCTCAGGCGAGCTAGCTCCCTATGCCGAACACCCATTATAAATTTGAAAATTTTAATGAATTTGAAAATTTTGAAATTTGGCTTCCAAAGAAGCCATTTCAAATTTTGAAATTTGGTTTCATAATTTATGAATGTCCCGATTTGACCTAAGTTGAGGAGGCAAAACTTTTTTTTGTGTACCATACGTCGATTTTGAACCCTAGAAATCCTTATTTTTGGTTGGTTTCTTTTCTTATTAACCTTGTATTTGAACAATTATATTAATTTTGTTACTATATTTACTATGGCTTTAAATTTATCTTTGTAACATTTATCTTTACTGTTCACCTTATTAAATTAACAAAGCCCACAAATTATTTATTTACTTGAAGTTTTAGATGGTCATAAATTCACATCTTAGAAATGGGAAAAATTGAATAATTCAAACCTTATTTACTTGGACAAACCAAAAATGATCACGAGACAATTTCCAGTCGTATAGAGGAAGATATTGAAAGTGGTAGGTGGGCGAGCAAATTTTCGATGTTCGACTCGGCAAGCTCCCTTACAAAGATCTTGTTGGTTATTTATTTTGTTTCATCTTCCAGAAACAATC